TTGAATAATTATTTCTCTGTATGCCTTGTTTTGGTAAGTCACCTTTTAAATCTTCTCCAAAATACGAAAAACATAAAAAATAAGTGAGAAACCCCAAAAGCATGTACCTGTAAGTTTCCCTCCTCACATTTCCTGAGTCTAAAAATCCAGATCTGAGGGTCCTGGAAAGCCTTCATCAAAGACCTTTGTGATGGGCCTGTTCTTCACCTTCCATTCCTTTAGATGTCCCTTTGCTTCCCTGTCAATGTCCCCTTCTCCCACCTCTCAACTTCAGATGAGATGTGGGTGCTATGAGAGAAGCAGAAGCAGGCCCCAGCTGCCAGGGCCTACCTCAAGTCTTCGCTGGAACTTAGTGATTTGTGGGACCAGGAAATGGCAAATGAGGAAGAGATTTACCTTAGCTGAGCTTGAGCGTTCTCATACACAAAATGGGAATAATAATGGCACCCACTTCATGGGCTTCATTCAGTGAGAAAATGCAGGCACAGAAAGCCTGGTACTGAATAAAGACATAAAAGGGCAGCAATTATTATAAAATTAGATATATAAATCAACTATTAGGTACCAATCACTTACTACATTTTACGCATTGCTTTAGCATCTTGTTTTCACAATAAGCTCTTGAGTCCATTTCTAATTGCACAAACTGAGGCTCAGGTAGAAATTTTGCCCAAGGTCAAGGCTAGGGGCTATAGACCCAGGGTTCAAGGAGTCTGATGTCTAAATCTGAATTTCAGGGTCTCTGCCTTGAACCCAGACAATGTGTTATGGATGTGCATGTGGTGGAAGTCTTTCTAGTGGGAGAGAGAGGCTTCTCACCAAGCCAGGATTTATAAGCAGGCAGCCCGACATTCTTGACCTGAGCACTCCCTCTCCAGAGTCCAGCTCAGTGAACTTCAAAAAGGTATGCTTCACCTGGACCTTGCAAATCATTTACTCTGCTTCTCTCAGTTCACAACTATGAAAACTGAAGCTAAGGTGAGGGAAAGTGCTTTGCTCAAGGACACTCAATAAATCTGTGAGCTTAATCTTTAGACTGCCACATTTTTCCCCCTGTGCCCACACCTGGGTTGATCATCCTCCACGGGACCCTGTCTGAGAGGTCCTGGTGTTCAGGGGGAGCAGGGGTCTGGAGTTCTTACTCAATTCCTTCACCAACCTGCCCTACTAAGGGCTCTCTGGGACCAAAATATAGAAGTGTATGCAGTACAGAGATGAGGAGAGGGGAGATATGATGGTCTTTCATTGCAGACAGCACTAGGAGCCAGGTCAGTTGGTGTTACAGAAAAGGGAGGGGCAGATGCTTTGAATTTTGATTGGAAGTGCGTGCCAAGCAGTGCTTCCTATCCTCCTCGGTCTCCCCTGAGTCACCTGCCCTCTTTGGCCCCAGGCTAGTTGGTATTTCTCCCAGGACTGAAACCAGCCTTCCCTTCATTCCAGCACAACCCTCACAAACCCCCAACCCCCAACGGGTTATATAATGACTCACTGCTCTAACTACTGTCCTGGAATCTCCTTGGACAAGTTCAAGTCCAGAACACAGGTTAGTATGAGGGCTGGCCTGGGTCCCACTCCAGGTCGCTGGTATCCTAGGAAGAAGGGTTTGACCCACATTCAGAGAAGCCTGATTGGCCCTCTTCCCCATCTCCCTGCTGTGCCCTTGCCTCACCAGGCGAAACCCTAGTTTGTCAGGTGGAGAGTCAAGGACACTTCCCTGCTATCTTGCCGTCTTGGCACCCTGCTCTGGTGGATGGACTCCAGGACCAGCACTATTGCTTGGTCTAAGGGAGTGGCTCCAACCATCCAGTCCTGGCCCTGGGGAGGAGTACCCTCATGTGGCCGTCAGGAGA